CTTCTTATTGTATTTCACTGTATCCAGTAGGTATCCTAAAACAAGAAATAAAAGATTAAAAAAAAAACCCCAATAAAATACAAAATTTAGGAAAAAAAAATTACATTAAATTAAACATATATTGTACCACACAAAATATTAATTCAAATCATTAATTCAAATTTATTGAATTTATTAACCTAAATAATCAATTAGCTTTAAATATTTTTTTTTAGATCGACATAGAAGATCCCTAAACAATCTTCCAAAGCATCTTTTATGGAAACAGTATGAATTATTTAAAGACAATTTAATTAATGGTAATTATCAAAGACGATGACCTCAAGTATAAAAAGAAAAAAAAACTAGAAATTATTAGTTTTTGTTTGTGTGTTTTAATAAATAGAATAAAAATGTTATAACTTTCTAGCAGTGTTAAAAATATTATGTCTAGTGTGAAATTCTCCAGCTCTGGTCGGATGAGTCTGATGGGTAAAATGCAGTCCCAGCACTTGTTATAATGCAGTTACTGTAATCAAACACAAACCTCAGCATCATAAGCTGCCGGTGATATGAGCTTTAAATTGGTATATTACTTACAGTATTAGAAAAACTGTGCAGAAGACAAATTAAGCTTCTTTTTTTTTTTTAGAGCTTTTTGGAATTGTTGCTATTGTTGTAACTCAGCAGAAAATCTCCAATATCCAAATTAAAAGCTGTCACTGTACATTGCATTTTCTCTCTGTGTTTAACAATCACTGTCCACATCACAAAGTCCATCCTGATGACCATCTGTGCTCACAGTGTCTCCACTATAACCGTGTCAGTGAACCTATAGCTGGTGGAGTCACAGCAGAGATAAACTGCTTCAAAAACAACCTTTAAGTTAAAGTTAAAAGAAAGAAAAAACACGCAAGGAAATCAAAAGATAGGGTAGTTTCAGTGCTTTTACTTTGGCTCCTTTTTCTCAAAAACTATATGAAAGCTCATTGTGCAGCGTGTGCTTAAAAATGACCAAAAAACAGAGGAGGAGGGAGAAAAACCCAGAAGCATTTTTTAAAAAGAAAAGAGTTTCTACTTTATGTTTGCCAGGAATAGAAAATGACAACAACTAAAGGCAAAACATTCATTTTTTTATAATTCGTGCTAAGTGGTAGGATATCATTTCCAGATTTTATAACATTAAATTATGCTGGTGTGATATGTAAATATACCTGTATTTCCCAAAATGTCTATCTGTGCCATATTCAGCAGGATAACTAGTTCCTACCTCCCTGCCTTGGTGATGATCATCTCTGTGCCGATGTCATGGAAACGCTTCCAGAGGTCAGCACACTGGAGCTCCACCTGGATCTCCTCCATGGAAGAAGAGGGAGAGGCGTCGCAGGCGCCTGGGGCCAGGTCAGCTGGTGAGCCGAAGGAGCAGGACGTCCTCTCAGCCAGACCCTCACCATCCGAGCCGGGACTCGCCTCTGAGTCTGAAATAGGAAAAAAATGAGGAAAAATAATGAGGAAGGCGGCTCTGGAGAAGGGGAACAAAACGGCTGTGCAGAGGAAACTTGGCACATGTCAGTGTGCGCTGCAGTGCTCCTCATCTGATTCCTCATCACCTGCTCCTCTCAGCTCTCACTGAGCTCTGATTTGGAAAACTATGCAGAAAAAAAAACTGTCCTTTTCATTTTGGCCAACTACTACAATCCATGAAAAAAAAAGTATATGAAATCTTCTTTAAGGTCGTAAATCAGATTCATACATTGAAATGATCAAAAGATGAATTAGATAAAACCTCATTATGTAGAGACAAAGCCAGACCCACAGAAAGTGCAATAAAGAATATGACAGTTATTAATTACACTGTTAAAAAATAATGATTGCAAAAAATAATGAACAAATATTATAAAAAAAAATACATTTAAAACTATTGTTCCTGTTTGTTTTCGTGTGACATTTTGCTAGAACATATTTATTTCAGTGATTTATCTTCGTCTCGGTTTATGTTTCTCCCCATTATTGATGATGATTAAAAGTTGCTAATCCTGATTTTGCTGCAGCGGAGAACCCAGTGGATGTGTCTGTTGGGATAGAATAAATCCTCTGCATCTATAAAACATCTTTGTTTGCGTCTCATAAATGCATCATTAATTTATTTATTTATTTCCTTTTTAATGTAATTTAACTCAGCTTATAAAGCACCAATTTAAAGCGCATCATCATAGGGCACTTTTTAATATGAACCCTTTTATTGAGAAATAATAACATACTTATATTGCATTGCTTTTGCTATAATTTCTTTTTTAGTACTTAGAAAATCACACACAAAGAAAGAACAAACAAAACAAGAACTTGGTTGGGGGATGACAGGGAAGCTAGAATAAAACTGAAGTTCTGACTTCACTTTTCAAATCACTTTATCCATGACACCAGGGTTTACAAAAAGCCAGACCTAACAGACTTGACATGTTTCTTCAAATTTTGACCATATTATGTAAAAAAAAAGTCTCTCTCTCTGCACTCTAACAGGCAGACTTAGATCTCTTTCACTATGTTAATCCAGTCTTCAATCGTTCTCTTGTTGAAGGGCCTTTTTATTGAATGCCAGTAAAATGTAATGCAAATATTTTTGGTGAATATAGTTCAGCTGGTTTTATATTTTCTTTTATTTCTATCTTATTGACTTTTAGAGTAAGATCGTCTTAAATAATGGCCAGACTTTCTTTATATGAAGATGCATATCACTGCAAGCAAAGAGTGGAAACATCAGAGGACCGAGCACACGACCCTGTGGACACCCAGTGCTAAATGATTTCCTAAATTTTAAGAGAAAGAATATTATATACAAATGTCTAATAATCTAATCTTTTCCTTTAATTACTTTTTTTAAGTTGTTATTTCTATTCTGTTTATTTTTCAGCTTGCATTTACAGTCAAATAATCTCAGCATAAATTGATGCACAGATATTAGAAATCCCAATATACTCTCACTAAAGATGAAATGCATTTTTTTTTCTTTCAAAAACTCCTCTTTTGAATGAATATCTTTAAGTAACATTTATGTGTGATCTTATTTATTTATTTCAAAATGTTTTTATGTGTTATTTTCCAGCTGGAATGTCAAACCTTTCCACGCGCATAATATCCTCACCTGACTGCCACACGCTTCTTCTCCTTTCATTTTGCTTAGAAATCTTTTATAAACGGCCTTGCTGGTACCCAACGCCACCCAGGAAAGAATGGAGAGAAATGTAATAATGGATTATTTATTAGCCTAAGGAAGGGGGGGCAGACACACGTAAATGTAGTTATGCAAATGCTAGGAGCTGAACTGGACAGCGTCCCGGGTAAAAACCGCCGCGGTCCAGCCAAGGCTGCTGGAAGGGAGAGAAGGAAGGAAGGGAGGAGATGAAAATGGGGGAGAGAAAGACAAGGAGGCGAGGAGTGGTGAAGGGTGTAATGAGTCCGGAGAGACGGGGGGAGTCTTTCCATCATCTTCTTGTGAGCTCCTTCCAGTGTCACTGCAGCCAGGGAGGACTGTCACACATGATTAGTGTCCTCCTCCCTCTTTTAACTGTTCACACTCAGGCAGATAGACACTCAGCTGCCCCCCCTCACACTTTGTTAACACATTCTGCTCGAGTAATAGAGGAGCAAGACTCTGATTCCTAAACGTCAAGTGTCCGCTGCAGGAAGAACCGAATCATAATCCATTTGCTCAACAAATCATTGAATTTAAGGTGTATATGTGAGATAAATATCTAATGTGTTCTCATTTTATTTTTTGACACTAAACACTAAATCAGAAATTTGATGTAATAAGTATATTTTAAAATTGATAGCATGGACAAATGTGTTTGAGTGGTGAAATCGTCTCTAAAACCTTTCAGTGCATCACATCTGTCAGACACAGCAGCAAGAGATCATCTTAGAAGGTACAATTTAAATCCTGAGGAGATCAGGAATGAGCATAAAGCTCTGACTTTTAGGTTTAATTTAATTATTCAAATTCTCAAATAAAACTATTTCAGTTCAGACATGTTTTAGTAATTACCGTAATATTTGTCATTTATTTATTTATTTGTTTGGGATTTTTAGGAAACAGTCCATTGTGATATGCCACTATACATTTACTACATATAAGTAAAGATTCGATCATTTGATTTCAAAACTATATTTGAAAAATATATCTATTTTAAAATAAAAAAAAAACAATTCTTAGCAGATTAGACTAGAAATACACACACATAAATATTGTAATCATTTTTTTTCTTCGTGTCTATAGGCAAAGGTGTCCCTGCAAAGAAGGAAGCTTCTTATTGAAATATCGTCCATAATAAATACAATGTTTAGGTTTATGTTTCTAATGCATTTTTTAAATCTATAAATAGAAATAAAACACCAGCTACATTAATCTTTACATTAGTCAACAGTTAGCGTGTCAATTACTCCTGCTAGTAGCACAGAAGTGGCATCTGACTATATGTTAGTTAGACTGTAGTTTTAGTTTTACTACAATTTTACTACAAGAAAAATCCCAAAGCTCCTAGATAATCATTTCCAGGGAGTTACAGCCACTCCAGAAATAAACAATATAAAGCTTAGTTTCAGCTGGGCCTCCTATTTCATCAACAAGCTGTATTTTATATTAGAAAATGCTGGCTTAATAAAAAAAAGATTGAAGATGTGCAGAAGCTGTAGCCTTGGATGAACTCGTCTAACTGTAGTTAAATTATAGCAGGAGCTCAGATGCACAAAGTCAGATCTAGGTAAGTCATTTTTTCTTGGAATAAATGTGTTTTTCCTTTATTTGTGCTGCTAAGTAAGACAATTTGCAAATGGAACAAGATTATTTATATTCAAATAAGTAAAAAACAACTATATTATCTTATTTAAAGCGCATAATATCTAATTATCTTATTGTAAGACCAAAAATATTCCTTCTATTGGCAGATGATCTTATTTACTTTTTAAATTAGGGGTATATAGATTTATTTTAACACATTTTTGATTCAATTCAATTCAGCTTATTTATATAGCGCCAATTCACAACAGATTTCACCTCAGGGCACTTTACAGTTTACCAGATCATACACTCAGATTGACACTTTTACTTATGTTTAAATGGTTTTTGCAGTTCGGGGTGTGTAAATAAGTGTATTTACCTTTAATTTGAGTAGTAAAATAAGATTATCCTCCAATGGAATGAGCATTTATACACCTAATACAAGATAATTAGATAATATGCACTTGAAATAAGACAATGTAATTGTTTTTTTCCTTGTTTTAGATCTTTCTTTGAAGTGTAAAGTAAAATAAAAAGGGAACATGCAGGAATGCAGAGGACATAGAGAGGTGGAAAAGGAGCAGTCCAGCTGCCCTGTCATCAGGCTGGAGGACCTGTCCTCAGACACTCAGCACACACGCACACACTCTGACCAACGCAGAGATTAAATGAACAAACATCAGCTCAGCAGAGAGACGAGCGTGACTGCAGATGCATCTGCTTCACAAAGCCTCAGGTTAAACATCTGATCTGAAGTCAGCCAGCTCATTTTCACTCCACTATCACTCAGCATCCACTGCTGGGTTTGAGTTTTCATTCTGCTGGCTGAAAGCACTGCACCTGTCGCCCACACACACACACACACACACACACACACACACACACACACACACACTGGGGGGTGTTTGTCTTGCCGCTCTGATCAGCTCATGCCTTCCCTCCTTAATAATGAGGCGATGGGTCTGAATTCAACCAGCTTGGTGCTACACATCACTCTCACATTTAGACACAGGGGCGACGCTCTAAACTCTGGACGCCCGTAGGAATCCTTAAAAGTTTTCTACTCCATACATCCAAAATAAACATAACAAAGAGATAACTGAAGCAGGTAAACAAGATGATCTGCCAATGGAAGTAGCATTTCCTGCCTTAAAATAAGATTATTTTATCTTATTCACTTGATATTAGATAATACAGTCGCTTTTTATTCCAGTAGCAAATTGTCTTACTTATCTGCTCCAAAATACACTCATTTCAAGAAAAATTAAGTGACTTAATATTTTTGCACTGCAGAACAGTGCAAACTATCCATCCAACCATCCATCCATTCATCCATCCATCAGGGTCGCGGTGGGGCCGGCGCCTACCTCGTGCAGTCTATGTGTGAGAGGCAGGGCAGGCTGCAAACCATTTTGGGTCGGTTCAACAATATTTGATTTGCTTTAAAAAAAAAAAAAATCATATTTGGAGAGATTTATGTAAGTTAAAAGTCAATTGATGTTTAGGCTAAAACCGGTTATTTTTTAGTCTAAAGGTCAAAGCTTAAGACTGATGAATGCAGAAAACAGAGGATGCAACCTTTTGATTATTATGCAACAAAGCAAAATGGCTGCACACATTTTATCTGCATGTTATCAATCGTAACGTATGTGTTCATATTCACTATTATTCTTTCTCAGATACAGCTTATTTTTTTCATGCA